AAATTCCTCTCTCTTTTGTCTCCCTCTCATAGTCTCTCAGGTATCACTCAGAGTCTCTCAGGGTAATGAAACAAAGTGGTTGGCGAAGCAGAAGCCGAGCATGAGGACCTGGCAGAGCTGGGGCAGTGCTGTTTGGTTGGGCTGAACTTGTTCTACATATGTCTGGAACCTGGAATATAGGGATAGGTTCAGGATTGGGGTTCAGAGTCTGTAGAGCTCTTTGTGTGGGGGAACCAGGAAATAGGTGCTTCTTAAGCCCTAAGCACCCGGTCGGGAAGCTTCAAGTGTTGGGTCGGGCCAAGCCTACAAAACCAAGCAGCCAAAATCGCAAACCTGATATATCAGGGGTGTGGATTCGCTTTGGTTGGATTGAGCGACCCTACTACAAGAGGCTAGCAAAGGGCTTTTGGAGAAGAAGTTTCATTTGTCGTTCAGGAATACCAATACTGTGCTTGGGTTGGGAGGGCCTGTGTTTTCACAGCTTTCGGCCACTGCCATGGGTTTAGGGTTTAGGGTTTGGGGTTTGGGGTTTAGGGTTTAGGGTTTCGGTTTTAGATACAGCTTCACGTGTTAAGCCGGGAACACCCCTAACCCTGCCTAAGCCCCGGCCACATGTACAAAGATAAACTATCTGAACTACAGTTGCATCTATAGGAAATATGTACGTAAATATGTATGTATGTATGTATGTATGTATGTATGTATGTATGTATATATATATATGTATACATATATATATATATATATATATTAGTGGGGCTTACCAAGCAGGACCGGGCTTAAGGGTTCTCGCAAAAGGAACATAGGCCCCAGCAGTTGGGAGTTCGCAGATGTCGAGCAGCCAGAAAAGTTTCAAAGGAGGGTCTAGGAGTTATCGGGTTTGGGATTACGGGGTTGGGAGCTCAAGGATTAAAGTTATTATCGGGTTTTGGCCTTAAAGGTTTTTGGGGTTAGGATTTGGGATTACAGGGTCGGGAGCTCAAGGATTAAGGTTATTATGGGGTTTTGGCCTTAAAGGGCTTTGGGTGTATTTGTAGCTAGCCCCCCCTTAATGCAAGGTCGAAGCTTCCTTTTCTCAGCTGCGACTCGATCGCCGCCGCGACCGGCTCCTCGATCGCCGCCGGCTCCTCGATCGCCGCCGACCCCTCGATCGCCGCCGACTCCTCGATCGCCGACCCCTCGATCGCCGCCGACTCCTCGATCGCCGCCGCCGACTCCTCGATCGCCGCCCCGATGACCGCCGACTCCTCGATCTCCTCGATCGCCGCGACCCAGAGCCAGAGCCCGACCCAACAACCGATGTCGGGGATTCCAAAGCAGCGGATGGCACTCGGCAGTGGTCTTGAAGAAAAAGCCTAAGCTCCTCATCGGGCACCAGCTCCTCCTCAGCATCCACAGCAGCAAGCTCATCGCCCAAGGGCCCAGCCGTTGCATCATCGCCCAAAAAAGGCTCACCAGGCCCAGCCGGTTCATAATCGTCGAGCCCAACCGGTCCATGATCGTCGACAGGCTCTCCAGGCCCAACCGGTCCATTATCATCCAAAGGCTCACCAGGCCCAGCTGCATTATC